TTTAACATTGGCTTGATTTTTATCCATTTATTCATTCATTAAACAAATGCACACTCATTCATTCATTGAACAAATGCATTTTACTGAAAAATGCATTTGCTTTATTTGCATTAAAACAAATATGAGAATAAGGTGAGTGAAACAAATGTTTGGGTTTCACAGTGCATATAAAGTTTATCCTTACACTATGTGGTAGTATAGTATTGTGCAATTGCATTATATCTAAAAAAAAGTACATACCATAACTTTAAAATATCTTACTGCTAAGAACAATTGGGATAAGAAAAAACTGAAAATATTATAAATACAAACAAGTTAAAAACATAAATATGTACTTAGAATGAGAAAGGAAATTGAATTATTTTTAAAAGATGACATCACAAAATCTGGAAGGATAATATTGCTAATAATTAACTGTCTCATATTTTTTCTGTACTTTTTGATTTATAGCCTTAAATTGTTTCTTCATATCGCAGCTATATGCCACTATCACTTTCGGTATAGACAACAGAAATATAATTATTTTTATAGCAGTTTTGACAGGACTTTTTAGATATTGATGGCTGTAATACAGAATGTATACAACTTTACATAGAGACTTTCATGGTATACATAACCTACAAACCCAAGTATTCTGGCTAATTATATTTTCCATGATTCCCATACAAAATAAAACACATATGGAGCATTTATAATTGTATATGCCCAATTTAATATATTTTTGACAGTAGAACATTTGTTTTGATGAGGTATCAATGACAGTTGAATTTGACATGTGAAATTTTTCATATCTGATGATTATGAAATGAACTTTTGACTAGCTTCTGTCTTTTCTACTACCCATGTATTTCTGGTGCTGGCCATTGTAGGTCATGTTTACATTGCATCATGTCATTTTGTCTTGTTCTTTCATGTCACCAGGCTCGGTGAATTAGAGCTATGAGTGGAAGGAGTATTCCTGGAAGACATTCCTACACCAGGAGAGCTAGCCATAATGTACCTCTACATGAAAGGGCTACAAACCCTACAAACATAGTCTGCATTCGAAATATGTGAATCACTAAGTCAGTTTCTCCTTAGATGTCCAAAATGCGCGTAAATCCGCCAAAGCTAACATGAGAGGAAGTCAGAGTACAAAAAGATAGAGTTTAGCTAGTTGCAATTAAAACATCTTTTAAAATTTTTATCAAATTGTATAACTATTGTCATGCATTACTGGGGCCTCTCCTGGGGCCTTCAAAGGCCTAGGGCCTACCCAAGTGAAGAATTAAAATTTTAACTTCATTTCCCTGGACAGTAAATTTCTTCCAGGAAGGGATAAGAAGAATTATAGATTGGAGATTGTCATTCCTCTTTTGTTTTTATCTTTCAACCTGTTTTAATTTTTGATTAGAAAACTGAATGTACTCAGCATATCTAAATTTCCCTTTCCATGCAGGATTCTTTATAACAGATGTATCCATTATCACATCTTTGCATGGCAAGGCTTCCTATTATAATTATGTGTAGAAAATTGCTCATCCCCTTCACTGTTTCTTTCTTACGTATTTTAGTAAGTCTGGAGTTTTCTATTTCATGTGACTCATTAAAGCGGGTGTGGTGATGACATGCGATAAGCCACTATACCATTCAACAGAGGATCCAAATTGTAATCCCTGCTCAGCTTCTAATTTGCTGTGTGACTTGAAAGGGAGCTACTTCCTCCTGGTCTTGAGTTTCATAGCTGGCCAATTTTGTGGAACAAAATTAGTAGTTCCAAGGAGCAGAGGATTCTGCAGAGATGCTGTAAGGGTAGCCAGATGCTGCTTTAAGCAGAGGAATTCTGCTTTTTTTTTTTTTTTTTTTTTTTTTTTTTTTGCTATTTTACACACTAGAGTTTCTTTCAAGACTTTGTCTTAGAATGATTGCCCTATTTAAAAAAACAACAACAACAGTGAAAGCCATTTTTTAGATGTTGTCCCAAATACATAGAATCACCTGGGAGATTTTTCATAATGTTTCACCCTGAGCCCCAGATTCTAATCATGGAGCTCAAAATTTGTACTTTATTTGTTCAGTTTCTTTTGTGTTTTGATGCATAATTAGGGTTGAGTGATATTATTCCAGACCAATGGCATGCAATCCTGTCTGCTCTGAGAATTATCTGGGGAGCTTTAATAAATACTGATACCTGGGTGTTACCTCTGTGATTGTTACTTATCCTGTGAACAGATGTGTTTTTTTTTCTTTTATACTTTTTATTTATTTATTTTTTTGACAGAGTCTTCACTCTGTTGCCCAGGCTGGAGTGCAGTGGTGTGTTATTGGCTCACTGCAACTTCTGCCTCCTGGGTTCAAGGAATTCTGCTGCCCAGCTCCCCATGTAGCTGAGATTACAGGCACCTGCCACCACGCCCAGCTAATTATTGTATTTTTAGTAGACAGGGTTTCACCATATTGGCCAGGCTGGTCTCAAACTCCTAATCTCAAGTGATCTGCCCACCTTGACCTCCCAAAGTTCTGGGTTTACTAGTGCGAGCCACTGCACTTTGGGAGTACAGATGTTTTTAACAGCTCCGCCAGTAACTCTGATGTGCATCCAGGGCTGAGAACCCTTAGTCAAGATAACCACTGCATTCCGCCAAGTTCTAACAGTATATATATGAAAACAACAAATCACAAGCATGCTGTCTATGCCTTCACCCTCTTATAAACATTTATTGAACATGTCATTTCCATTTTATAGCTATGTTTATGTAATGACACCATCGGTTGGGATGAATGACAGAGAAAAGGCAGCTGGTGTACTGGCAATATCACTAGCTTCTGCATACTGATTTGTAAAGACTTTCTCGTTGTTGATCTTGCCTATGAGAATCCTAAATTATAGTTCAAGACCGTACCCTGCCACAAACCCCATAGCCCTGCACAAGTAGGTTAACTTCTCTAATTCTAATTTGGATCATTCATAATTAGTTGATTAATATCAAATGAAATTGCAGATGTGATTCTAAGAGTGTTATCCTTTTCTTTAATTCACAGAATATGATTTGATGGAAAATAAAAACCTAATTTCTTTCAGGCTTATAAAGCATTCTTTTCACTTTTATTTGATCTTCATGTTTAAAAAGGCCAGTGATTGATGACTTTGTTGTGTTCTCATCTTCTTCTAACACATTCGTGATCTGCAGAGGAATTATCAGAAGCTGAGATTTAAAACTGAGATCCTCTTACAGCATAAAGCTCAGTGCCTGGCTAGGAACCCAGTGCTTTGGGAGCAGGAGGTGAAAATGTGCAAGCATACAAACAAGAACTTGCCCATGGTATTTAGCTTGAACCTTTATGTACCCCCAGATATCAGCAGAGCTAGTAGCAGATGGAAAATCATTCATTTTGTCATCATTTATGCATTCTGTTTTCCATTCATTCATTCCACACACATATTCCAACATAGACTCATATTAGGTACTGATTTCAGCTCCAGGGTATGTGTTTGAGATGAGACAGATGCCATGTAAGCCTTCATGGAGCATTTTAGTTAGCCGTAAGGAAGAATGCACTCAGTTTTTCAAATGGAATTCCACTGTTGCGAAACGGCCATCAGTTCTCTAGGGGATTTTTAGATTGTATATGTTCATTTTAATGATTATCTGAAAATCACAACATAATCATATTCTGAACCATCGGGAAGATAACCTAATAACCAAGGATGTGATTTTAGGGCCCGAGTTTTCGTGTTTAGGTCACTTTGATAGCACATATTACTAATTTAATTGCTACTGACCAAAAAGAAAATGAATGGAGTAGGTCTTATTTGTAGGGAATGCAGCATGTCTACATCATGGCCAAATGAAGTAAAAATAGGGTCTATACCATTGTCTGAACTGAGCTGGGCAGTGGGGGTTCTGTAACACATGGCTATGGCAGAGTAGAGATGCTGTGCTCAGGAGACCTTGTACCAGGGCCCTTGGTACTGCATTCATGAGATTTAGCTTAAGGCAAATCATTCTCCTTCGTAGTACTTTGTTATTGTCCAGTTTGAGTGATAGGCATTTTCTAGCTTTATTTAATTTTAAAATTTGTTTTGGTTTTAGAATTGGATAGAAGTGATATGTTTGTCTAGATTTGTGTTGGCACTTAATTAGTAATTTTAGGATAAAGATAATTTGTGTCAACAGCAGGGACTTGGAAAACCTTCCTTATTTTAAAGGGCATCAGCATATTACTTTATAATATATTGACAAATATTTTTCTGATGTCTCTCACTCTACTGTGCTTAGCATGTAACTAGTTCATCCTCTCATTAGTCTACGAGCTAATGTTCACATTTTATTTGACTTTGACCCTCCTTTATGTTTCTTAAATAAGTTGGATGAGAACATTCAACTCACAAAGACTAACTCAGGGGGCAGTTAGGTATTGACTACACTATCGCTTGATGAAGACTCCCAAATCAAGTGGGATTTCAGCTGTGTGTCTGCAAGGACCCCTTTTAAATCTGGAATAGAGGAGTGGTCAAAGCTGCTGCTATTGCCACTGACTGGCAATACAGAATGATTGTGTCTGATATTTTTTAAGCCCCCAAATAAATTACCTGAGTAATATTTTTATATCACTAAGGTGAACTGCTGGGGTTAACTTATTTTCTTCAGTAATTCTCAATTTTTCCTTCAGTTTGATGGGTCTTTGAGCGTCTCCCCCACAAAGATGTTGGAATTCCGAGTCACTTGGAAAATGGCCTCCTCAGAGTCCCTCTCCTCCCAGTATGTTTGTGGCTGTGGCTGTGGCTGTCTCAGTGCACATCAGAAGTGATGGCTGTGTCATATGAGAGGGCTCAAGCAAGCATCCAGAGAAGCCACTTTTGTCCGGAGGAAACAGATTTTTAGAGTTGTCGGAGGTTGTAAATGTAAAGACAGCAGCCAGCCATATCTCTTCATCAGTTGATTTTTTTCCCCTTTATTTTTTTCCTCTTCTCTCAGCAGTTTAATGTGAGTGTTTCTCTCTCGCCTTGTTTATTTCAGATGCCTCAGGAACAGTACACTCACCACCGGAGCCCCATGCCTGGCTCCGAGGGGCCACAGGTATACAAGGTGGGGATTTACGGCTGGCGGAAACGATGCCTGTATTTCTTTGTCCTGCTCCTCATGATTTTAATACTGGTGAACTTGGCCATGACCATCTGGATTCTCAAAGTCATGAACTTCACAATTGTAAGTAAAACCACCTAGGTTTGTTTAGCTCTCTTTGCGGAAGGGAAACTTGGGGCAAGGTGATGAAGGAAAGTGGAAAAGCGATGTTGTTATAGCAGGACTCAAAAGATCTGTAACCTCTTTGTATTTGGTGAAAGAGCATTTCTGTTCAGATTGAATATGGATATTGACTTCTATCTAATCTTAACTCTCCAGGGGCTGGTAATCCAACATAAAGATATTTCCCTCCTTTAGAATCTCCTGTATATTATCCCTCCGTTTTGATAACTGTTTCTGTAGCCTGTAGCTTTCAAGCACTTTGATTAAATAATGAAGGAAGAAATAGAGAATAAATTCAAAGTATTAAGTTTTCACTAATTGTAGTGATTACAAAAGGTTTGATGGAGAGTTGAAACATTTGCATAAAATTAGACTATGGGCATTACATATCTAAAAATTTTAACTATTTATGCTTGATGATCCATCACTCTGATTAGTTAAGAATATCGTCCATTTTTCGGAGGATGATTTTCTTTGCTGCTTGTCTGAGTAAGAGGGAAATGAGAGGAATGTAACTGTGTGTGTGTGTGTGTGTGTGTGTGTGTGTTTAACAATTTATATTTGTGTTGTCTTCAATGAAATTCCTGCTATTGGTTTTTGGGGTCCCTGTAACACACTGGGCATTTACTGTTGAAGTTCAAATGAAAGAAAATCCTGAAAAAATGACTTTTGGAGTTCTTCTGAGGTTTCATACTTAGAAATTCTGATCTATGCTGGCAATATAAGTAGTCTAACTCATTAATGAGGAAATAATGGGCAGCGATCTGCTATGCTGAAGATAATTTCCTTTCTTGTTCTGAGGTCAAAAGTAAATAATATAAATTGGCAATAAAAACAACTCCTAGGTCAGGCTCATTGGCTTGTGCCTAAATTCTAGCACTTTCGGAGGCTGAGTTGGATCACTTGAGCCCAGGAGTTCAAGATCAGTCTGGGAAACATAGCAAGACCCATCTCTGCAACCAAGCAAACAAACAAAACCCAAAACTGTTTTGTTTGATAAATAAATATGACCTTAACAAAGTAACAGTCAAGTTTTCATGTGGCAGTCCTAAATATCATAGTGGATGTTTGCATTTTCTAAATTACAAAGTTCATTTTTATCCTTGACACCCTCATAGTCACACTTTCTTGTCTTTATTCATACATTTTCTTCTGCCTGGAGTGCTTTGCTCCCTTCCCTGCCTGGTAAAACTTGTCTTGATACTCCTGTAGTTCCATTAATGTATTTTTTATTAAATTTACCACTCAGATAATTTTTATATGTATTTCCCAGACAAACTGAACTTTGAGAAAGGGAAAGGCTGCATGTTTTCTGTGTGTGTCTTTGCCCATCACTCATGTTAGGGCTTCTTGGTGCTTGACTTAATTAGGACTCCGTAAACCAAAGTTACAGATGCTGCTTTAGGCATCAGAATGGCTCACTCTTTAATATTTGCGGTTAAAGCTAGGAAACTATAAAATCAAAAATGTTACCTTGATATTACAAATTTCTACCTTGAGGGGAGAAAACAATTCAGTTCTTTTTAAATGTTTATTTTTTTTTCTTTATGTATTTATTTACAGGAAGGGTCTCACTTTCTCATGGAGGCTGGAGGGCAGTGGTGTGATCATAGCTCACTGCACATGGACTCCTGGGCTCAAGTGATTCTCCCGTCTAAATCTCCCAAGTAGTTAGGACTACAAGCACACACCACCATGCTTGACTGATTTTTAAATTGTTTGTAGAGATGGAGGTCTCACTATTTAGGTCCCAAGCTGGTCTCAAACTCCTGGCTTCAAGCAGTTCTACTACCTCAGCCTCTGAAAGTGCTGGGATTACAAGCATGACCCATCACATCCAGCTAAGAGTTCAGTTCTTTTGAAAAATACAGAATAACTTGTAACTTTGGAAGACTATATGGTCAGTTTCCATGGGGTTATAGGCATCCAAGTTCATAGTTCTAGAGTATTAGAGCACATTAGCTTCTGTTTCTGGATCAGACTCAATCAATACTTTTCAAACTGGACTTTACTTTCTTTAAATACAAGCAGAATTCAGAGAAATGTTTAAGCAGGAGAGAAAGATGTCATTAGGTTTACATGATAGAGAGCGTGCGTATGTGAGGAAGCAGTAGAATGGGGAAAGTTTGTTAGAGCTGAGGGCTCTGGAGAATGCCCTGGGTCCATTCGGCCTTAAGTTCCAGTGACCACAATTGCCATCTGTTGATGTGCAAGTTCTGTGATGTTCTTAATTTATATTTCAAAAACTTGTAAATTAAGAAAACTTCTCTGTTGCAATATTAAACAGCAGAATACCAAAGCTAGGGCAGTAGCATGGACAGTAAAGATTAAAAATACATTTAAAAGATGGAATTGATATACCTTGACTTCTGGTTGGACGTAGGGTTGAGGGATCAAAAGACATTTTGGAAGATTTCCGCTTTTAGGGTAGTGAGATGGCTGGGTGGTGGGGCCTAAAAAGCAAAATAGAGTTTATGACTTTTCCACTGGAACTTGGCTAGTACCCGTGTATACTCCTAATCCCCTATGTGAAGCTATCCTCTTAATGCCTTATTTTTGTGATTTTTACCAAGGCTGTCATGAATTTAATTTATAGAACCTGCAAGATTTAGGGGTAGAGGAAGTGGAAAATATGAGCTGAAACTTCGATGACTGTGATACTATACAAATATGGCTTCTAGACTGTGCTTTATCTGGAAAGCTTAATAGAAGTATATGCAAATGTATATTGAGCACCACTTATATGACATTAAGGTAATAATCTATATGAAATCAGCTCTTTCCTGTAGTTAACTAAATTGATTGCTGAAGTTGAGAGTCCTTAAAGCTTTACCAAACCAAGTACTTACTGAGGTAAGAATAATGCTGCTATTAGCCATAATTGGTGCTTTATAGCCGTAATGCATTTGAGCAAATAGAACTGAAGTGTTAGAAAATTGGTCTTGCCCTGCAAGTTAAAAGCATATTTTCCATCAATCACAGTATAAAGGATATTCTTTTAGAATTATAATTCTCTTTCAAAAATAATAATTTACCGACAGTGATGATCTTAGGGAAAGAATGAGGTATTAAGCAATGTTATATTGGAGAAACAGCCAAAAAAAAAATAGTCAATGAGATAGCAGTAAAGTAGTTTATGCAGAGATTTAAAAATATAAGTAGGGAAAGTCCTAGCCAGAGCAATCAGAAAAGGGAAAGAAATCAAGGGCATACAAATTGGAAAGGAGGAAGTCTGACTGACTGCTGATTATATGAGTGTATACCTAGAAAACTATAGACTCCTCTATCTGATAAACAAAATTCAGTAAAGTGTCAGGTTACAAAATCAGTGTACACAAATTAGCAGCACTGCTGTATACCAACAGTGACCAAGCCGAGAATCAAATCAAGCACTCAATCTCTTTTATAATAGCTACAAAAAATTTAAAATACCTAGGAATATACTTAAGCAAGGAGGTAAAAGATCTCTTCAAGGAGCAACACAAAATGCTGCTGAAAGAAACCATAGAAGACACAAACAAGTAGAAAACCATCCCATGCTTATGTTGTTGAAAGACACAACATCATGAAAATGACCATACTGCCCAAAGCAATCTGCAGAGTCAGTGTACTTCCTATCATAATGCCAACATTATTTTTCACAGAATTATAAAAAACATTCCTAAAATTCTTATGGAACCAAAAAAGAGCCCAATGGCCGAAACAATTCTAAGAAAAAAGGACAAATCTGAAGGCATCACATTACCTGACTTCAAATTGTACTGCAAGGATATAGTAATCAAAACAGCATAATACTGGTATAAAAGTCAACACAAACACCATTGGAACAGAAGAGGGAACCTAGAAAGAAAGTCTTATATTTAAAATCAACTGATCTTTTCCAAAGCGTGCAAAACATGAATTGTCATGTTTTGCACGCTTTAGGAGAAATTAGGAGAAATCTAATAAATGATGCTGGGAAAATGGGGTAGCCACACGTAGAAGAAAGAAACTGGATCCCTTTCTCTCACTGTGTTGAAAAAATTAACTCAAGGTAGATGAAAGACTTAAAGACCTGAATAATTCTAGAACATAAAAATTCTAGAAAAAAAATAGGAAAAGCAGTTCTGGGTATTGACCAAAGAATTTATGACTAAGACCACAAAAACAAATGCAACAAAACCAAAATAAATGGAATCTAATTAAACGAAAAAGCTTCTGCACAGTAAAATAAATAATAATCAGAATCAACAGACAACCTATGGAATGAGAGAAAGTATTTTTAAATTATGTATCTCATGAAAGGACTAATATTCAGAATCAACAAGGAGCTCTAAGCAAGAAAAAAAACAATTTCATTAAAAAGTGTGCAAATGGCATGAATAGACATTTCTCAGAATAGTTGATAAATAGCCAACAAACATATGAAAAAACATGCAACATCACTAATCATCAGGTAAATGCAAATTAAAATCACAATGAGATACCCCCTTACCCCAGCCAGAATGGCTGTTACTAAAAAGTTAAAAAAAAAAAAAAATAGATGTTGGTTTGAATGTGGTGAAGAAGGAATGTTTGTATACTGCTGATGGGGATGTAAATTAGTACAATCTCTGTAGAAAACCGTTTGGAGATTTTTCAAAGACATAAAACTAGACCTACCATTTGATCCAGTAATCTCACTGCTGGGTAGCTACCAGAAGGAGAATAAGTCATTATATCAAAAGGAGACCTGTATATGTATATTTTTTGCAGCACAATTCACAACTGCAAAGATATAGAACCAATGTAAGTTCCCATCAACAGATGAGTAGATAAGGAAAATGTGATATACATACACATAAAAAGAATGAAATAACAGCTTTTGCAGCAAGTTGTACGGAGCCAGAGGCCACTTTTCTTTTCTTTTCTTTTCTTTTTTTAGAAGAAGAAAGAGAGAAAGAGAAAGAAAGGAAAAAAAAAGAATGAAGGAGAGGAAGAAA